ACCCAGCTTGACTGTTACTGCGGCATACCAGACGTATGTGGCCAGTTCGACCACAGGAATGACAAGTGGCGTTGCGGAACGGACACTTCTTGCGGACGTGCCGACCCCCACGCAACTCGAACTTATTCCGTGGATGGACTCGGTGTTCGAAGACTCGAGGCGTCGGACATTGTCGCCTCGAATCGACAACGCACTCGCAGCGGCTGCTTCACTAGTGTCGGCTCGTGCCATGACCCGCTGCACCGTCAATTCGGGGTCGGCTAGCAGGCTTCGCTGGAGACCTTCGTCGCGCATGCCACACATAAATCGGTCCCGCAACATGCGATCTAACATTTGTCCGAAATTGCATCTTACCGACAAACTTCTTAATACGGCCATATAGTTACCGACGAACTCGTCGGGGTGCTGATCACGCTTGTGGAAATGGTAGAATGCGGCAATCTCCGATTGGCGGGGCGCCAAGTGACTGGTTGATATATCATAAACGTCTGTTAATTGCTCAAAAGACGGTATTCGCATTTTTTAGAAAACCTGATATCTCGGTAACCTACATGCTTAATCCGAACTTTCTATCACCGATGCTCCCAATGCAAATTGTTTTTTCCGATCAAGCCGAGCGGGCGTGGCCCACAACTCCCACAAAACCCAAAAAACCGAAAATGCAAAAATCTCGGAAACTATAAGAGCGACAAAATTGTGCTTAAAAATACGTATTTAAGAGATGTCTCTGAAACTTGCCACGAGTTTTCATCCGGCCACGCCCACAAACCGCGGAAAACTGTAGCGTCTATAATATTATTATGAATGCCTTCGTTTGACCTTGTATAAATCATTTCTGTTAATATCTATCGTTTTACCAAAGGTTTTTGAAATCGGAACAGTATTTCGCTATTTATGAAGAAATTGAGGTTATAAGGCCTCACATGGATTGTGACGTCACTATCAGTTACTCAATATACATTCTCTGAAAAAAGGTGGCGCCTTGTAAATTTCAACTAGCAAAATGAATATTTTACAACTGTGTAAAGCAGTAACGGGTATCTTATAGTCGCATTCGACTATAGCGATTCCTTTTGTTTTATTTGGAGTTGAATGTATGTTCAAAGAAATCAGCAAGATTTATAAATACCCACAGCACTAATTACAAAATAAACACTCATTCTGAACAGTTTAAATGCCCCGATACACGGAAATTCAAATGTTAATCCACAATTAAATTATGCGATGATGAATTTGGATAATTTTAAGGTTACGTCCCGGGCACTCGGCGAATAGTAAATGGTTGTATATGTAGTTCCGGAGGTTTTTAAAAGCCCAAACCATGGCAAGGAGCTCTCGCTTGTTGGTCGCGTAATTTGTTTTGTGATTTCTCTCAGCCTGTCGAACCTTTCTTTCTGTTCCTTACTCATGTTGATATCAATCTTTCTTGATTGGTGTTTACTATATTTTCCGTTTTCTCCCTTTCAGAGTCCCTGAAAAGATCTGAAGAGAAAAGGTGTTGTTGGTGGGGGAAATTCCTTGATGGCTTTTATCTTTTCAGGTGAAGTTCGGAGTCCTCCTGGTGACACTATGAAGCCCAAGTACACGACGCTCATTTTAAAGAACTCTCATACTCTGCTTCTAAGAGCTTGGTTAAGACCCAGTCCACGTCGTTAACGTGGTCTTCTTTTGTTTTTGAGAATATAGTGTCGTCATATTTTAGAGATTTCTTCTTTTAGTACGTCATCGATAGCCCTTTGGAAGCAATACTAAAAAATTCATATTTGCCATTGATTATAGAAAAAGCTGTTTTTTCCCTATCTTTTTCTGCCAGCTCTATCTGATGTAAGCCTGACTTGAGGTCGAGTGTGGTAACACACTGGGACTCGCCCATACTATAGTGTTTATGGCTATAGTGTTTATGGTAATGGAAGTGCTTCGTCTGGGTCAGCGAAGGCTTTATGATCTTTGACAATCATTTTATCAAATGTGGTTTTATTTGCCAAGGGAACGTCATCAATTTAAATAACGTTGACGTTTTCTGCCCCAGTGATTCGGATCTTTTCATCCCCGTTGTTTGTGTGTAGAACAATCCTGGTAAAATTGAGTGTCTCATTCGCTTGTTTAAGCAAGTCGAAGCCGATAATACCGTCGAAGTCTTTAAGGTTATTTAGGATAAAAAAAGGTGTTTTTATGTTAAGCACCCAAACTGAACATTTTTTGCTGATTTATTGACTTCATCGTGTAAGGTTTCTCCGCTGCCACGATGTCTTTTTGCCCCGGGGTTGGAGTAATATAACTTTCTAAGTACCTGTGTCTAAAAGTAGGTATACCCGTTACTCGTAAAATAAAAGGGTATACTAGATTCCGAGACCATAAATTGAGAGAATAAATTAATAACTAGGACGAATACAATTGAAAGATAACATTTTATATAAGCTGACAGGAGTGCAAAGAGTGCAATCTGTACTTTAATTCATCAGAAAAGTGAGTCTATTAATTACTCAGGAATATAAATAATCAATAATCCTATGAAAAGCAAGACGATCCAAAAAATCAATCACACGGTGAAATTTTACAAAAAAGACCCACTTGCTATTTACGTCAAGCTGTTTTACCAAGTTTCGATCTTAGGCATGTACAATCTGCCGCGTTTTTGCTTTAAACCGGGTAACTGGTTTCTTTCTAGGAGACCGTTTCAATATTATATTCTTCGTCAGTATCAATAGCGAAGTCGATTAAGCCATGTCCGTCTCTCAGTCTGTCCGTATGAACGCTGAGATCTCAGGAACTGTAAGTAATAACGGATATCTAATAGTCGCCACCGAAGTGATCATTTTTTGGCCCGTATGGCCACGCCTACTGTAAAGACGACAAAACATAAAACATCAATAAATCTAATCGATCGATATTCTCGTCGATATTTTGCATAACAAACTGTCTCACATAAGCTTCAAACAACTAACAAAGTTGTATACAAACCGAAAATGCATTTGCAACAATATATGGCCATGAATCGGGATAAGAGGGGCAAAAATGTTATCCACTTTTAGATTTCTAAAAGTTCAACATAATAATAAGTTACACTTTACAGAAATGGAACCTAAGGACCTAAAAACATACGAGCACATTGAATTTATCACATGTACTGAACATTTAGTCTTAACAATTGACGATTAGGTTACAAGGTCTCACATGGGCAGCGACGTCAGTTTGTAAACATGCTTTTTTGACAAAAGATGGCACATTGTTCATTTCCACTAACAAAATGAATATTTTAAAATTGTGTAAAACAGTAATGGGTAACTTACGGTACTTGACTATACCGTTTCTTCTTTTTATACCTGTTACTCGTAGAGTAAAAGGGTATACTAGATTCGTTGAAAACTATGCAACAGGTAGAAGGAAGCGTTTCCGACCCTATAAAGTATACATATTCTTGATCAGGATCAATAGCGAAGTCGATTGAGCCATGTCCGTCCGTCCGTTCGTCTGTCCGTATGAACGCTGAGATCTCAGGAGCTATAAGAGATACAAAGTTTAGATTAACAATGAAGATTCTTGAGGTCCCTACGCAGCGCTAGTTTATTACAGCATCCTACGCTACAAATCTAACGCCTACAAAACCCGAAAAACAAAATATACAAAAATCTCGGAAACTATAAGAGCTACAAAGTTGTGCTTAAGAATACGTATGAAGGAAATGCCTCTGCAACTTGCCACGAGGGTTCATCCGGCCACGCCCACTATAACGCCCACAAACAGCGGAAAACTGTAGCGTCTAGAATATTATTATGAATGCCTTTGTTTGACCTTGTATAACTTATTCTTGTTAATATTTACCAAAAATTTTTGAAATCGGAACATTATTTCGCTATTTATGAAGAAATTTAGGTTATAAGGCCTCACTTGGTTTGTGACGTCATTATCAATTACGCAACATGCTTCGTCTGATAATAGGTGGCGCCTTGTGAAGTATACATATTCTTGATCAGGATCAATAGCGAAGTCGATTGAGCCATGTCCGTCCGTCCGTTCGTCTGTCCGTATGAACGCTGAGATCTCAGGAGCTATAAGAGATACAAAGTTTAGATTAACAATGAAGATTCTTGAGGTCCCTACGCAGCGCTAGTTTATTACAGCATCCTAAACTAAACCCTACAAAAACCCGAAAAACAAAATATACAAAAATCTCGGAAACTATAAGAGCTACAAAGTTGTGCTTAAGAATACGTATGAAGGAAATGCCTCTGCAACTTGCCACGAGGGTTCATCCGGCCACGCCCACTATAACGCCCACAAACAGCGGAAAACTGTAGCGTCTAGAATATTATTATGAATGCCTTTGTTTGACCTTGTATAACTTATTTTTGTTAATATTTACCAAAAATTTTTGAAATCGGAACATTATTTCGCTATTTATGAAGAAATTTAGGTTATAAGGCCTCACTTGGTTTGTGACGTCATTATCAATTACGCAACATGCTTCGTTTGATAATAGGTGGCGCCTTGTGAATTTCGACTAGCAAAATAATTGTGTAAAACAGTAACGGGTATCTTATAGTCGCGGCACTCGACTATAGCGTTTCCTTTTGTTTTGTTTTGGGAAGTGTAATCAATGTAAGGGATCTATATTTCAATCAAGTTAATTCATGTAAACAATTTTTAATACTTTTTAATAAAATTAAACTTCCTAAAATCTGCATTTATCTGCCAATTTATCGTATTGTTTAAATTTCTTTTAATCAATAATTAGATGAATGTGAACTTTAATATCACAAAATTGAAAAGTTAAAAAAAATTGGAAAAATTTCTCGTTCTTCCATTTTTTGTACTTTTTTTTCACAAAAATTATAAAACGAAAAGAAGTGAGCAGAGAAACAAATAAGAATTACTGAAAGTATTAAAGTATAGTGATGGTTTAATGAAAATTATATTTAATCTGGTGGTAGTTTCTGCAATTTTAGATAAGATGTCTTTATATGTTTAATATTGACAATATTGCTGTATTTTTCTTGCAGACATAAATTTTTTTTGTAAACAACAATCTTTTGACAAAACTGAGACGTCTATTGGGCAAAGAAAAACTAAGAAGCTTATTTAAATGTGGAAGCAGAGACAACTTAAAAGATGTTTAAACCTTAAAAACAAGAAAACTGAAAGAGCTTGCTATCGAGAAAAATAAAAATCGAAGGTTTGAAATGGAGCATGTAGATATTGCTGGATATACCCATAACACAGCCCCAAATTGGAAGAGTATAAGCAAGTTGGAACAGCAAGGTGAGTTTTGAGATTTATTTGAAACGTACTAGTCTTATCATAAAACTTTTAAAAAATTGTTGCTGTATGTAAAAACGGGCCAAATAAGCATTTACATTAAACCTTTCCCATATTTTTAACCCTTGTGAACATTGTTCGTTTCTAAGATTTTTTCTGGAAATATAAAATTCTTAGATTGTGGGACAATAACGCTAAAAATCATCATCTTTCATCGTGCGCTCTTTTGCAGATGCTGTATTCTTGTCTATCTCGCGGCATATATTAGATCCCATCATAGAGGAGACCAGCGAGGACGAAAAACACAGCCCTGTTTGCTGGAGGGACTGTCAAATGCATCGATCTCCCATCTGGAGCTCCACGGAGCTCGAAACAGGCTCAATGATACGCATTGATGTTATGGGTAAGCTAATCAAGATTCCATTCTTCAATTCTACATATTCGCATATAATTGCACTTTTCTGAGCAGATGGCGATGTAGTATCTGAACGCGACTTCGTTTGCCCTCCTAAGCGACCAAAACGCGGCCAAGATTTGGATTCCGGTCAGAGTTTTGAGGATAGCATTCAGTTGCGCCGTTCTCTAATCCCCGACCCCGAGATTGACAATAGCTCGGAGCATTTCCTGACCCTAGACGCCTGTGTTCGGGAGAGTTATGAAAGTCAAGGGCAATGGAGCAGCATTAGCTGTCGGCGAGGCGGCACATTCGACGACTTTTATTCGGAAAACGACTCCCACCATTCGCTATCACGCAGCTCTTCCCTGGTGCAATTTGAGTCTCTGGAACGCCAATTCACGCTTCAGGAGCAGCACCATAGTATGGGCATTCTCTCCAACAGTTCGCCCTTGCTCATTTGCGAACTAAATCCCGGAACTGGGATAAATGACACCACTACGGAGAGCAGGAAGGGGTCGTCTTCTTCGCTATCCATTATGAAGCGGTACGAGTCAAGTGACTGTAGTCGCCTGCATCAGACATACCATGAATTGAAGAAAATCAACTTTGAGAAGCAACAGCAGCCGCGAGAACTCTCCTCCAAGATCTTGTACCAGGTTGAGCTAAATTCAGATTTAGAGACCAGCTCCAGTTCCAGCTCATCCAGCAATAGCAGCGTCCACAGCTTTATCAGCTCGTGCCTCATCAGCAAAGACTCGTATGAACGTAGAACCATTAAGCCGGACTCCACTCGACGACTGCCGCCCAATTCGGCAGAAAATCTATCCGTGGACTCCGGCTACTGTGAGGTAAAGACGCAGCAGCATGAAAAGTCTAAGTCTCTACCGGATAATTTCGACAAGCTCTTCGAAGAAGAAGAGGAGTTGCTGCTAATGGAAGACGGCGCGGAACATTCCCGCTACTTCAATGGCGGACATGATTTGTGTCAGCCAAAAATAGACAAAACGGTGGACACACCCGTAGCGCCCAGCTCTCATTCTCCGTCGTCTATTAATAGTTACCAGGAGAGGGCAAGCTCTCAGTCGCTGCCATCGCCTACTGAATCGGCATCGACGTCGTTCACAGTCTCTTTAATTGAACTGCTCAACAGTTTGCCGGGTACCGGCGAGACGTATGGTCCAGCACCCGAAGCACTCAGCTGCGCTCTGGCCAGCAAAAAAAAAAAAATCAGCCATTACTCCCGCCGCAGCCATAGCGCCAGTTCTATCGATAGCTGCAACGGCATTCACGCCACACAATCACTTAACAAGCTGCAGTATATTGGGCGGTGCCGATGCTACCATTACAATCATTCTAGCCAGTGGAACTGCGACAGCAACAAAGCAAGAAGCTTCGCCGAGGGGCTAAACTTGAAACAGGTAGATATCCAAGACAGCCTTTCTCAAGACTGCCGAAGCCTTACGAGGATTCAGGGAAGCTGCATCTGGAACGAATGCGCTCGAAAAGATTTAGGCGTCGCCAGTTCGGCATATTTAAATGTCAGCTACCAAGACCTTACGCTTCTGGACTATACGGATAATTTACTAACGGCAAAGCAACTTCGGAAAAACGACAAGAGGAGTGAGGTAGATGAAATGGCAGACCGGAGAAGCGTTGTCGGCGGTGACTACAAGTCAGTCATCTGCACGGGAAACTTTTTGCTGGATGAAATCAGCAAGATATACGACAAAAATGTATCAATACTAACAGATAAACCAATTATGGGGGATCAACTTCTACAAGAGGACTGCATTTCAAATGCAGCCGAAAAGCTTGAACAAGTGCATCATGTGCAACTAAACATAAAACCAGCACCGCCACAGAAGAAAAATCAGCAACAGCCGTTGTCTATTAAAAACTGCGTAAAATCATTTGACCAGGACCCCACATTTTTGCGCACATCATACTCTTATTTCCTGAAGCAGTGCCATTTTGGTGCTACAAGCCAGACCAAGGGGATTCCATGCCCGGAAGTCTCGCAAAGATCTCTGTACAAGCGCCGCCTTCAGTCTCAGGCATTAACAGCCAAGCAGCGTAGTCTGGTCAGAAGCACGCCCAATCTATCGGACAGCCTTGATGGACGAAAGGAGCCTGAGGAAGATATCTACGTGAGCAGTGCTTACACTTCAATGCAAAACCTTCCGCAGGAGTCAATGCAGACAAAACCATTAGGAATCCTGCTAACATCTGGATCGAGACACTCCTTTGGCAAGGAGGTAAGTTTTTGCCCAGTGGTAAGCAAGTACTGCTGGCAGGAGCAATCTTCCGAGGACCCGCCAGAAGATCAGGGCAATTCGGACGAATACCAGCAGGGCTCCTCGAGCGACGGTCTGATCGATAATGCAGACGTCAAATTAAAGTACAACACCAAAAAGAATGAGAACATAGCGGAGATTTTCAATCTAGAGGAGACACATCGTTTAAGAAATTCATCAAGTTTACATGAGGTATGTAAAATGTATACTTAGTAGATTATTCAAATGTCAAGATAAAAATAATACTTAAGAAAAACATAATGTAAAAAAAGAGGACACGCTCTAGTCGAGTGCCTCGACTATAAGATACCCGTTACTATTTTACATAATTTTAAAATATTCATTTTGCTAGTGGAAATTCACAAGGCGCAACCTATTGTCAGGTAAATAGATAGATATTAACAGAAATAAGTTATACAAGGTCTAACGAAGGCATTCATAATAATATTCTAGACGCCATAGTTTTCCGCGGCTTGTAGGCGTTAGAGTGGTCGTGGCCGGATGAAAACTCATAAATACGTATGCTTAAGCACAACTTTGTAGCTTTTATAGTTTCCGATTTGCATTTTTGGTTTTCCGGGTTTTGTAGGAGTTAGGGTGGGCGTGGCTAGATGGGAAAAAAACAATTTTCATTTGGGCCATCATAAAAACCTACATGCATAATCCGAACTTTCTATCTTTTATAGTTAACGAGATATCAGCTTTTCCAGAAAATGCGATAACCGTCTTTTGAGCTTTGTGGGCGTATGGGTGGGTGTGGGCGGATAGTACCACTATAAGATGCGCTGGCATCTGAAGATTATACATACTGAATTTTAACCTTCTAGCTCTAATAGTTCCTGAGATTTAAGCGATTTTAGTTTTTCGCGAAATGTGGACGTTAGAGTGCGCGTGGTAGGATGCTGTAATAAACTTGCGCAGCATAGTTAATTTCAACTTTGTATCTCTTATAGTTCCTGAGATCTAAGCGTTCATACGGACAAACGGATCCAGATCAAGAATATATATACTTTATAGGGTCGGAAAAGCTTCTTTCTACCTGTTACATACTTTTCAACGGATCTAATATACCCTTTTACGCTACGAGTAAAGGGTATAAAAAATTAACGTTGTAGGCTAAGTGCCCCGACTATTAGATAGTTATGCACATACATACATATGTACATACATACATTGATATGTATAAGTATGTAAACAACATTTAAAAATATATATATGTACATATTTCTGTATACTTCCGAATAAAAAAATTGTTTGTATGTATGTATACATAAATCGAATTGTTTATACTTATGAATCTATTTGTATATTGAGCAAGTTCCCTCACACATACATAGATACACATGTAAATACGAACACACATAGATGAATGAGCATAGCGAAAGTGATAAAGAGAAATTGGGTTCTTTAGGATACATACAGTGCCGAACTAAATTTTTGGCACAGAAGGCTTCATGAACTTTAAGGCACGACTTCTCCCCTTAAAATTTAGATATTTAAATAAACAAAGAAAAAGGGTGGCCAGATCGATGATAATATCCAAAAAAATAGAACTAAATCTTAAGTGTGCCAATAATTTTGTTCAGGCAAATTCGCCTCTTTTCTATGTTATTTAATTTTTAAAAATCAACCATTGAAGGTAAAAAGTTGAAATAAACTTTATCGTGTTATGTTTTTATAATATTATATGTATAAATTTTTGTTTATTTAAATATCTAAATTTTAAGGGGAGAAATCGTGCCTTAAAGTTCATGAAGCCTTCTGTGCCAAAAATTTAGTTCGGCACTGTACATATATTAATCCAGCAAGCATTTTATGAAATTTCTGATCGAATATGAGTCATTTTCGACTCTCCTAGAAGAGCAAAATGATCATAAGTGCGCTCGTTTTCTGATCGAAAAAGACTCTCTGCTCGGTAGAAAATGGCACCCTAGCCCTTAAGTGTGCCAATAATTTTGTTCAGGCAAATTCGCCTCTTTTCTATGTTATTTAATTTTTAAAAATCAACCATTGAAGGTAAAAAGTTGAAATAAACTTTGTCGTGTTATGTTTTTATAATATTATATGTATAAGTTTTTGTTTATTTAAATATCTAAATTTTAAGGGGAGAAATCGTGCCTTAAAGTTCATGAAGCCTTCTGTGCCAAAAATTTAGTTCGGCACTGTACATATATTAATCCAGCAAGCATTTTATGAAATTTCTGATCGAATATGAGTCATTTTCGACTCTCCTAGAAGAGCAAAATGATCATAAGTGCGCTCGTTTTCTGATCGAAAAAGACTCTCTGCTCGGTAGAAAATGGCACCCTAGCCGCGACTCTTCCTAAACAGTCGCATTCGATACCTCAGGAAGAGTAGTTTTCGACTCGTTTTTCTCGCAAGAAACGAGTCTTTTTCGAGTAATATTTTAATCGAAATTCGTTCGCTTTCGACTCATTTTCCTCCCAAGAAGCGAGTTTTTTTCGAGATGTATAAGAATCGAAAATAAGTGAAATATTCAATAATATTTTGTTCTTGAATTTTTTATTTATTATATATATATATATATATATATGTATATTAAAGCAAATAAACTAATTCACGCGGTTTCTTTTTTTAACAAGGTATTTGGCATGTACGAAAAATGTTTGAAAAGCCATGTTTATGTGCTTATCCGTGTATTTGAATTTTATGTGGCAAATATCTAGAAGGAGAAAAATATTAACTTTTTTTCACCAATAATAGAAATATTTTCTTACTTTTTATTATTGTTATAAGGAAGCACTTTTCAGCACTTTTGTAGCCAATTCGTCAGAAAATACTTTTCGAATTGCTGCTCTCAGAAATTGAGATGGTCCTTCTTCACCAGTTATCCCTATAAATTGTTTCTGAAAATTAAATCAAATTAAATTAAGAATCATTTCAAGACACCCGACTCATTTCAAGACACCCGACTCACTTTTCCCATAAACATGGGTGTCTCAGACACTCCCTTCATTTGCTATGAGTGTGTCGGGTGTCTGTGCAAAAGAGTACTGGGTGCGCAAGTGCACATTCGAAATGATCTTGTGCAAGACACATGGCCTTATTTTAGGGTGCCGATCACACTCTGAGTGCCGAAAAGGCACACATGATTCGAGTGCACTCATTGTTGTTATCTCATTGTACCCTTGCCGTTCTCTGATGTAGACATTCCTATTTAGACGTACAGAATGTGAAGAAACATTTTGAACAAAGGAATTTAAATACGCTTATTTTAATTTGCGTTCGACGTAAAATATAAAAAATATGTAAGTTAATTTTAATAACCTTTTGTACTATTATTTCTTACTTTAACTCAAGCCCGTTGGGGCAAGGATCCATTGATAACAGATTGGGCTTATTAGGTTTTTTCATTTATTTCACCTCATCCTGTTAAGGTAAAGGATAATATAAACAATGTGTTAAAATTATTTATTACACAGCTATGGCTGCGGAGTATGATTTTAAACTGAACTAAAGGTCCGATCCGGCTGCAGCTAGAAGTCTTCGTCCGGTCGCAGCGCTGTCGCCAAAGTGCCGGATCAGCATTTTTATCCGGTTGCTGACGATCACTCGCTGCGCGAGTGTTCTGGCCGGGAACCGTGGGATTGCCCCCAGAGTGCAGAGTCGGCGGTTTCTTCGTTGCGCATGTTGACCACTTCTGGCCGGGCTCCGGGTGATTGTCCCCGGAGTGCAGAGTCGGCAGTTTCCTTATTCCGTGTGTTGGCCACCGGATGTGGCCCGCAACTCGGCAGTTTCCCAATTTGGGAACTGGGTGTGTTAACTTGTACATATGTATGTATGTATGTATTTAGCTCTTATGTATATAGAATATGCTAATTAAGAAGCTAAGCAAGAACATAAACAAAACATTGCAATGTGATGAGGGACACTGCCAAGAAACTATTTACACACACATGTAAGTACATACAGTGGCTCCAAGCTTATTTCGTGCAAGAATAAACCAAAGTTTAAATTTGACACCGCTACTACAGTAGCAGGGATATCAAAAATTTAAACGCAGTAATGTTAAGAATGTCGTATATTATTAAAATAACAACAAAAGTTTTCACTAATTTAAAAAACAAAAAAAAATTTCATACAAAAACTAAAAAATAGGGCAGTTCTGACGTACAAGCTTATTTCGTGCAAGCTGTATGTATAAAAATAACGTATTTAAGTTATCTATAGGACAAATTAAAACCTTGGTTACTCTTAAGTGGAGTACAGGAAAGAAAAATTAAAAACTTTGGCTTACACTTACAGTCTGACACTGTTAAGAACTTATTTGGACACTATCGTGTTTTTATACCCGTAAAGTCAAAAAGGGTATATTAGGTTCGTTGAAAAGTATGTAACAAGTAGAAGGAAGCGTTTCTGACCCTATAAAGTATATATATTCTTGATCAGGATCAATAGCAAAGTCGATTGAGCCATGTCCGTCTGTCCTTCCGTCCGTCCATCCGTATGAACGCTGAGATCTCAGGAACTATAACAGATACAAAGTTGAGATTAACCATGAAGATTCTTGAGGTCCCGGGACAGTCCAAGTTTATTACAGCATCCTGCCCTGCCAACTCAAACGACCACAAATCGCAAAAAAAAATTGCTGAAATCTCAGGAACTATTAGAGCTAGAAAGTTGAAATTCAGAAATTATAATCTTTAGATGCCAGCGCATCTTAAAGTGGTACTACTATCCGGTCACACCCACCCATATGCCCACAAGGCTCAAAAGACGGTTTTCGGATTTTTTAGAATATGGCGTCTATAATAATATTATGAATGCCTTCCTTTGACCTTGTGTAACTTATTTCTGTTAATTATTACATTATTTCGCTATTTATAAAGAAATTAAGGTTATAAGGCCTCACATGGGCAGTGACGTCACTATAAGCATACTCAACATACTTCCTGTGACAAAAGGTGGCGGATTGTGAATTTCCAAAAATAAATAAATAGCAAAATAATATTTTAAAATTTTGTAAAACAGTAACGGGTATCTTATACACTCGACTATAGCGTTTCCTCTTGTTGTATATAAAAAGGTAAGGGGATTTAGTATAAACAATTTTGATAGGACAAGAAAAATAATAAGAACATTAACTACTAATGTTATAATTAAGTAAAGTGTGGTATTATTTTCTGAAATTAGGTTTAAAACGTCATTATGTTCTACTATCTTTATCTTGAGTACATTAATCGGTGAATACAATGCTGTTAAATCAAATTCTGGCTTAATGAATTTTCGCATAAAATAACATTTCCAATTTTAATTCTACATTGTTTTATTCTAATAATTTTGCTTCCATTTATTTTTATTTCGCCATTTAATTCTTGACAAGTTTGTTTGATAGTAGTTTTAGGTAGATTCCATGTAAGTATAATATTTGGTTCAACGTATTGAATCATTTCTTTTGAAAGAGTTGGTATAAAATTACAAATTGGATTTTTGTGCTTAATTATATTTTTAATGCATTCATTATTAACTTCTTTATTGTCTTGATTATAAATTTTATTCTCATCTTCAAAATATGATTTTTGATCTGAATAGTCTAACTGATACCCATTATGGTCGGGATAAGGAATTATTTTAATGGTGTTAATGATTTTGTGGTTAATTGGGATATGTGAAATAAGTAGTAATTCGTTATTTTTGTGGTCAATCCAAGTTGATGTTTTGATTAAAAGTATATTTTGGCTGTTAATGGATTCTAGTTTGTCGTAATTGAGTAACTTTGGATTAAAAAGTCCAAGACGTGAAAGTTGCATGCCCATTTCTATGTCTTCAATGTACTCAATAAATTGCATGAGTTCATAAACAAGTGTCCCTTTCAAAAATGTTTAAACTAAATTACCCCAAAAATAATCATTTGTATGGCAGTTTAGTTTTGTAAGGGATTCCGCCTCTTCAGACCATGTTTTAATCATTACGAATATTAAATTGAATAACAGAAAACTTAAGTAAGTTTAAAAGATAAGATTAATACTGAAAGATTATCTGTGAAAGCAATCAAACAACAATTTCTTGCATAGTTCTTTAACTACAATCGATGTCACTAAAGCAGGTAAACCTTAGCTTAACAGAACTTTTTTGCCATGGTGACAAATTAGATGTCTTTACCGAAAAACTAATAATAACAGTAAAGATTTATTTTCACGACTGTTTGGTAACTTCAAAATAGTTTTTTTCCCAGCGTTTCTAGAGTGTTTTATTTGTAATTAATTATATTGTGAAACGTTTTTCAGTATACCACTCCTTGTACCAATCCCCTCTCAACGTACGAAAATTGTGGACTCGACGAGAGCGGCATCGAAAACAATGCAAAAATAGATAGACAAAATCAAAAATCCGATGCTAGGACCACTCTGGAACTCAAGACCGCATTAAAGATCACAGTCAATCATGAACCCACAGTCGTGAACTCGCCATATGAAGCAAAATATTTCAGCGTGGTGAATGATACACCTATTGAAGCAAACCTACGACCTCTTAGCCTGCCTGTCCTTAGCGAGCCACCTACCAACCGCGCATACCATATTCTTTTATCTTCCCAGAACTTGCTGCAGCGCTATGAGCCGGAAGTTCCGCAGACTCTCAAGAAACCATTAGCCAGAAAACCCACGATTTTTGTTCCTACTATCTGCCCGATCGACAAGAAGTCCGCCTCTAGAGGCTTTCTATACAAGTTCGCCACCGGATTGCGCTCCTCACTACATCGCAAAATGAAACAAAAGCAGGATAAGCATCTTAACCACTTGCCTGATTCCAAACAGTCACAGAAGAATAAAGCGTTGCCCTGGATTGAAAAGGAGTCAGGGCAAAGCATTGGAAACGGAAGGTCCAGCGATGTTGCAAAACAGCAAACAGAACAGCTCTCTAAGACGTTAATACTGCATAAGGTGACTGGCAAGCCGCCACTACCAAACGTGACATACCGAAGTGGCATTCTGGCGCATGCGTCTAAAGAAGCCGCTGTTGGGATTGCTAATGCCAATAATTGCCACCCCACAGAGGCTTCGTTAAGCACCGACCAGTTAACAGCGGACATTCATGCGACAACGATGTGGAATACCGAATTAACTACACAAGAAAGTTCCGCGCAGAAGACACAAATGAGTAATCAACATGAGAGGAACAGTCACTCGTCAAGACCCACAATGGTAACCGCTTTTCCGGTAGATGTTGCTCCAGAGGAAGAGGTAGGCAGGATGGGTTTTATTGAGACCAACCTGGACACTCATGAAACGGTCATCAGAGGAAAAACACGCTCTCTTATGGACATAACTTGCAACCCTCTTCGTAAACCGCCCATGCGGTGCATAGAAAAGCGGCAAAATGTTAACAGTACTATCTACGATGTCAATGAAATGGGCGCAGTGAATATTAATTCTTCGTCAGGAGGATGTGACGTAAAAATATCTTCCATTAGCAGGCCGCACAAGAGCATGGAGTTTCTATTGGACAAGGAAAATCAAAAAAATTTTTTGGTAAGTATCAAAAATGCTCAAGTGCAGATGTCATTTAATCTGCTTAATCTTTTCTAGTGTTTACTAGTCGTTGGCACTTAATTAGCTTAGAAATTCTACCCTCATTATTATTGTTTTCAGAGTTCAATGTTTTAAATAGGTTTAATGTTACTATTAAAAATAATATTTATCAAAAATGTCGATCAAAAGAACTACTGTTTTATATTTCTTTTTATACCCTTTATTCGTAGAGTAAAAAGTTACATTAGATTCGTTGAATTTAACAGTATGTAACATGAAGATGGAAGCGTTTCCGACCCAATAAAGTACAAATATTCTTGATCAGTACCAATAGCGAAGTCGATTAGGCCATGACAGTCCGTCTGGCCGTCCGGCCGTCCGTCCGTCTGTTCGTATGAACGCTGAGGTCTTAGGAACTACATATAATGTATGTATGTATAAGAAATACAAAGTTGAGAGTACGCAAAGTAAGTAAGTACTTTCGAATCGGATAAATGAGTAACGCGTATCTTGTAGTCTAGACACTAAGGTATAGAGTTTCTTATTGTTTTTGTGAAGGAAAATGTTTGTTTGACAATATTTATTCATTCTGACGTTAAGATAAAGACTATGAATAACCTATACTATATTATCGAATTCCGCGACTTTAAGATGCCCGTTACTCTGTTCAACAATTTATGTATGTATGTACATATGTATGTATATATAGATGTACATAATGTCAGAGCACTAGGAATGCTCTTCTGAATTGTAGAGTAGTGTGCGGGGTTTATCATTGTTTAACTCAACATAATATTGTGGAAAATTTTGTTGCCATTAAAACAAGAATAAACTTCGAGTTTCAAAATAATAATTTTGCTCAATTTATGTGGCATTAATAACTAAAGAGGGCACTACTGCGCACTTAAGGCTTTATACCTTATCATTTGTTTAGGTAATTGCAAATACAAAATAAAATTATTTTTAAAAGTTTAGTTACAAATCTATAATTATTTATATGCTTACGTTACATACACGTAATCCACGACTTTTACACAGATTGAGGTAGGAAAAGCTTAACTTTTTACACCGCAAATTTATAAACATATAAAACCGCAGAAGTATTTTATGGGCCGTTGAAAACTATTTTAAATAGATACAACTAAAAAAAGTGTTAAAAAATTTAATAAAAATATTTTATGGTGTCTTATTGATACCGGGCTTAACATCATCATTTTTTAGACAAATTTAAACCACAATGTGACTAACGCAATTTAATAAATATCATATTTAAACATTTATTATGGTATTCACAAAAGAATGTAATAACAGCAAAGGCATTTTGCTCTCGGGGAAATATAGCTCACCTATCAAAGAATTTTTTAAATATATATTAAATATAAGGAAATTAATGCAAGTACGAAACACCTCAGACTCTAGGGCTAATACCAATAATAGGTTATATTTTCGTTCTAAGGCAAGTTGTTTTGCTTTATTTTGGAAAGGGACGCGTCGTCGTACAACGTACGTATTTTATTTTGTGTTTCTTTGAATAGACTTATATGGTCTTTATAAGGTCTCTATGTATGTGGGGGTGTACACATTTTTAAACTATTTTTTTCATTTTTAATCTTGAAAAGCAATTTTTCGCTAGCTAGCTTAATTTTAGGTAATAACATCAGATAATGCTTCGTAGAAAAAACACAATAAAGAAATTATATAAACAAGAAGAAACGCGCCGCGACTATAAAATACCCGTTATTGTTTTATACAATTGTAAAATATTGATTTTGTTAGTGGAAATTCACAAAGCGCCACCTATTGTCAAAGAAAGCATTTTAAGTAACTGGTAGTGACGTCACTGCCCACGTGAGGCCTTATAACCTATGTTTCTTTATAAATAACGACAAAATCCGATTTGAAAAATAAATGGTAAATCGATAAAAATTGGCAAAAATATGTTATACAAGGTAAAATGAATACATACATTATAATATTATGGATACCACAGTTTTTCGCGGTTTGTGGGCGTTATAGAGGTCGTGACAGGATGCTGAAATAAACTTCCATGCGTATGGACCTCAAGAATCTGCCTGCTTATCTGAACTCTGTATCTATTATAGTTCCTGAGATCTCAGCGTTTATACGGACAGACAGCCATTTCTTAATCGACTCGGTTATTGATCCTGATCAAGAATATATAATATATACTTTATAGGGTCGGAAACATTTCCTTCTACCTTTTACATTCTTTTCAACGAATTTAATATACTCTTTTAATTAAGGAGTAACGGGTATAATTACCCTACGAGTAACGGGTATGAATAGACATAGAAATATAAGTAAATGGAAAGCTGAAAAATTAATAACAAAGCAGATTTTTAAAAATTAAAAGTTTTATTTTATTTCCGACAATCATTTCCAGTTACTTCTATAATCAATTTCAAATTTTATTTTGCTAGCAGGGTTTTACGTTAAAATGGTTTGAAAATTGTAAAAGGATAGTCGGACTTGAAAAAGGTTTTGGTAATGTTTTAACCATTGGGTGTATTTGAAAAAGTAGCCAATAAAACTTAAATTGGAATATGGATTTGGAATAATTGCTACGCTCACTATAACCCCCACAAAAGAAAAAAAAACAAAATCGTTGAAATCTTAGAATATACAAGAGCTAGAAAGATGGGATTAAACATGTGTGATCTTGACATGTCAGCGCATCCATGTAGTTTCTAATGATGCCCTCAATGCGTGTTATTTTTTCCCTTATGATCACACCAACTCTAACGCCCAAATTGTAAGTAGCGCTAGATCCGCCAAAGTAAGCCGCAAGCGCAATGCATTTTGGCAGGCATGAGCAGAGCAGGGCTTGGCCCTTAAACCCAAGATAAATTTTAGGTTTACCCACAAACTAAATTTAAGGCTCAGGTCCAAGCTAAATTTTGGGCATAAGATCGAGCGTAAGGCACAGTTCAAACCCATGCTTAATTCCACGCTTAATTACGAGTGGGCATGGCGAAGTCGCGTAGCTCCGGTGAAAGGGTGCTATTCCAGTTCAAAGTCCGCCAGCAGGAGAGAAGCGAAAAGGAAGGCGGGCAAGAAGAGAGCCAAGCATTCCTCTCCTGTGAATAGCAGGATACCCGACACACTTAAGGAAGAAAAATCAATTACAAATATATAGAGTGCGGTGTAATGAACAGTTTCCGGAATTTTAGACAAGACGAGAGTGAAGAAGTTCGGCAAAATTTTTTGTGCGGTTCGAGACGTGCCAGGCGAGCGAGCACAGTGGACCGAAAACCTGGTGAAGAGAAAAAACAAATATCCTTTTTTGAAACCATTTAAACAGAAGCGGACACAACACGGAAGCGTTTTTGTCGTTGGTTAGTGACTTAGTCTCTGATCTAATTAACGTTACGTTCCGCCATTGTTAAGAAAGAAAAAAAAGAGAAAAAGAAAGCAATGTATGTGTGCATCTATAGAATTTTGGTCGTTGTACCACTGTCCGTTTCGGTGCTATGATTACGGGCACCGTTGTAATCTCCAGCAGAATTCCGCATTGTTGACTGATAGTTAAATAAATTGAACGAGTTTCGTTTATTAGTTGTATTTGCAAAATATTTAGCCAGTTAGGTAGTTTTATTATTTTGCATTTTATTTTACTAATATTTAGTTTTTTTGTATCCATGTATTACCCGTGTTTTTACTTGCGATCCTCATTTTGTACACAATATTTGAAATATATAAAATGTTTATAATATGGTAATAAGCCTCGTTTGCCTTCAGCTTAAAAAATCCCCATGTGAAAACTATGTAGCAACCTGAAAGGGCCGTCAAATTAAGCATATTTTATTTTGGAGTTGGAAGGGTCGGCACCTGCAAACTCAATGTCATCGCAGGGTTTTAGGAAAGTTTGGTTTGTAGAACTCTATCGCAGCACGCGAAATCTTTTGATTAAGATAGAAAATGAAAAGATGCCGGGGTAGAAGGACAAGACCACTATCCCACATAGCCGACGAAGAGCAGCTGAATATTCGCTCGAGCGTTCTAGACACCTCCCACATCCATCATGGCTTTGTAATTCGTTACAACTATGAAAGGGAACTCTAAAAGCTTAAAAGTTTGGCTTAAGCTTACGTATTCTATAAATGCCACCGAAGCTTGAGATGACTTTTCATCCAGCTACGCCCACTCTAACGCCCACAAACCGCGGTAAAGTGTTGGGTCCATAATTTTAATATCTACCAATTGACCAAATATTTTTCAAATTGAAACACTGTTTCTTAGAATTTTAGTTTAAAAGCCTCACATAGGCAGTGACGTAATCATCAATTGGAAAACTTGCTATATTTTGTTAAACTACTTAAAGTAGGGCTTATGCAAAAAATTTTACACTGACCACAAAATTAAATTAAATTTTTTCACTGTTAAATACTGAACTTTCTTAAACAAATTATGTAGACACCATAAAACCAACGTATTTTTGTGGTTCGGATAGCCTTCCTGGACCTGAATTTAAGTTTTATCCATTAACCATTTGTAAGCCAATCCTTAAGCTGTTTAATCTGTCCAATTTCGATGTACGATGTCCAAAACTCTAGAGGTGTTCCTAAAATTTCAGCAATTTCTTCTTTGCTTAGTGATCAATAAGTATTCAATAAAAGGAATGAAATTAAAAACCTATAATCACGTTGAAACCTTTACTGATTTTTTATTCTGAATACATTTTTTGTTAGATATGTTAGATAAATCGCTTCATTGAGCAAACTACAACCATTATAAAATGTTGTAATACGAAAAAAATTAGAATACAATATAAAATTTTTTTTTTATTATAAAGAATTACAAGCACTGTGACGTAATTAGTTGTTGTTATATGTACATGAGAAAATATGATGTTAAATATATATAAGTTTTACAATTTTGGCCGGCACCTTGCGACCCTGTGAAAAATTTTTCTACCAAGATACGCATTAATAAAATTTTATGTAAGCTGTATTACTTTTGAAAATATTTTAAAAGCAAAA